TTCTTTGCACTCAGGAGATCTTTCAGGACTTTGTTTCTACTACACCCCTCAACATTTACCCTTATACCCACCTCTCACCATCTCTCAAGACCCACGATGGTTTTGGAAACATCCCCGGCATCTTGGCCATCCCTTGAGGGTCTCTCCTCACTTCTCCCTACCTCTGAATTCTCTTACTGGTCTCTTGTCTCTCCCTTTTCCTCCAACCTTAAACTCTGTGTCTTTTCCCTCCTCCACTTAAGCGCTCTGTCGTCTCAATCAGAGGTCAATTCTTTAATGCATCGTTTCTCTCATCTGCTACCAACTTTGCCCTCATTTTACAACTCTGCCCCAGCCCTCATCATACAAGCAAGCCACACACATACCACATACCAGCCTCCCTCAAAGTCCCATACCTTGCTTTCTTCCTTGTTAGCAAGCTTCACCTTTTTAATTTCTCCTGCCCCTATTCTTCCCTTTTCCCACCTGGCACAGGAAGCCTTACACATACACTCAACAGACACCACAACAGGCAGCAATTCCACCTATGCTTTTTATCAGCACTGTGTATCATAATACACTCACACTGGAGGTGGCATTTTTCTTTTATTTTTTTCATTTTTTGAATTGAAGTACCATTGACTTACAATGTTGTGTTAGTTTCAGGTTATAGCTAGTGTTTCAGTTCTACACATCTATCCTTTTTCAGATTCTTTTCCATTACAGGTTATTATGAAATATTGAGATAGTTCCCTGTGCTATACAGTAGGTCCTTTTTGGTTGTCTGTTTTATATACAGTAATGCATTAATTGCATCCTCCTAATTTATCCCCCTCCCCCGCAATTTCCCCTTTGGTAACCAGAAGTATGTTTTCTGTCTGTGGGTCTATTTCTGTTTTGTAAATATATTTATTTGCATTGGAGGTGATATTGTTAAAATTTACTATAATCTGGCTTTTTATAATCCTTATTAATTTTAAGTTCTGTCTTTACATCCTGATGTAACGCATACCATTTTTCTTTTCCTTTGTTTCCATGTCTTACTGATGCATTTTACATGTGTATATTTTTGCTCATTTCCCCATTAAAATGGCCAACAATGAAATTAACTTTGGAGGCAGCCTTCAAATAGAGATCGGGCAACACTCAAACAGAGACGATAAGGAAGAAATTCAGACATGTAGAGTGCGGTGTGGGGGGAGGGTCTTTGACAAGCTGGCTTCTAAACATCTCTTTTAAAACCTGAGAGTCTCCGTAAACTGATGAGTGTATGGGAATGTGGCCTTCTCCTTTGTGTTTTGCATTTTACTAAATGGTATTTGCCTCACCTGGGAAGTACTTAAATATTGAAATTACCTGAGAGAGTGAAATAAATGATTCTGTTGAAGGGAAAGAGAGGATAAGACATAAGCACATTTTTGATTTAGGTGATCGCTGAATATATTAGGGTGTTAGATCCCTCAGTAGGAGTTACATGCTCTGTGGGAGGATTTCCTGCATTTCTCTTGTCCCATTTCTCCTTTTGGCACTCAGGTTGTTCACAGACCCCAACACTGTCAGAGCTAGAGGGATGTCTGGGGTTATTTCTGTCCAGGAGGTCTTCCTGCCTGGGCCCATCCTTTGACCAAGGGACTTCCAACAACAGAACCCTCCTGATCTTCTCCAGACAGAGAAGATCCTTTTACTTCTGGATTGAACTAGCAGAATGTTTTTCTTTTGTGAGTCAAAAAGCATTCTCTTTGGAGTTTCTCCCCATTGGTTCCACTGTATTCCCTCAAACCTACAGCAAATCCCATCACTTTCTACCTGAGCCATTTGGATAGTCGAAGACAGTGGTTACTTCCTATATGGAGTTGTATCTTCACCTGTGAAAACATTTCCACTTTTCCAGGGTCCTCCTGAGATTACTGCTGGTCTCTTCTGTACTACGGCTGTTCTATTACCAGTGTGCTTGATTCTGCTTGCTGTGGGGTCCAGAGCAGAAGGGGATGCTCTGACTAGCCCAAAGGGAAGCAAGAGTCTCCCTCTCACCCCTGTCATTTTCCTGTTCTTCTACCCCTGACCCTTTGTCCTTCACATGCTCCAGGCCCTCTGTTACTTCCTCCTTTGGAAGTATTCCCGGATTCTTATTCCATCTTTCATAGCAGACCTGTCACTGAAGGTCCTCAGGTTGAGATCCAGTTACATGAAAAGGAATCTTTTGTTTTGTTTTTGCAGTTTTCCATGAATTCTCCAAATCCTTAGTGCTGTTTTTTTCACTTGACTTCAGTTTATAACAACGTGTAAGCATCTTCACGCCAGGGAGGCCTGGTGTGCTGTAGTCCATGGGGTCACAAAGAGTCAGACATGACTGGGCAATGGAACAACAACAAGCATCTTCAGAGTGGGTTGCCTTTTTTGTATTCGGTCCAGAGCCCAGTATAGGTCTGAGAAATATTTAATGAGTCTGTGTTATGAGTTGGCATTTCTCCTTCATCGCATCATTTCATTTTCTTTTACCCCGGGTGTTTGTGTTTATTTTGTCTTCAGTCCTATAGTATCAAGGTTGCTTATGGAGAAAGAGCCAATGAGGAAGTCATTTATTTTTATTTTTTAATTTTTATTTTCTTACCTTTATTGGAGGATAATTACTTTACAATATTGTGATGGTCTCTTAAAAAGCAGAAACATCACTTTGCTGACAAAGATCCCTATAGTCGAAGCTATTCTTTTTCCAGTAGGCATGTATGGATGTGAGAGTTGGACCATAAAGAAGATTGAGCACTGAAGAATTGATGCTTCCAATTGTGGTGCTGGAGAAGACTCTTGAGAGTCCCTTGGACTGCAAGGAGATCAAATCAGTCAATCCTAAAGGAAATCAACCCTGAATATTGAAGTACTGTTGCTAAAGCTGAAACTCCAATACTTTGGCCACCTGATGCGAAGAGCCGAGTCATTGTAAAAGACCCTAACACTGGGAAAGATAGAGGGCAGGAGGAGAAGACAGCAACAGAGAATGAGATGGTTGGATGGCGTCGTTGACTTTAATGGACATGAGTTTAAGCAAACTCCAAGAGATAGTGAAGGACAGGGAAGCCTGGCATGCTGCAGTCCATGGGGTCGCAAAGAGTTGGACATGACTTGGCTACTGAATCACAACTGCCATACATCAACATTTATCGGCCATAGGCATACATGTGTCCCCTCCGTCCTGAACCCCCAAGTCTATTATTTTTACTCCCAGTTCAGTCTTTCCATGTGGTTCAGCACAGAGCTGCTACCAACATCAGGGAGGTAATGGAGTTTAAATAGAGATCAGTGGGAACTGACTTGAGTTTTGGCTTGCTGAAAGTAATATGCGGTGGCCCACGTCCCCTGGCCAGGACAGCTAGAAGAGTCACGGAGGCAATATGATATGGTGGAAAGAGCTCCAGGCTGAAACAGATTTAGGTTTGATCCCTATCATGGTCACTTATTTTATGGGCACTTAACCAGTCTGAACTCAGTTTCTTCATCTGTAAAATGGGGCTCATCCAGCTCCATCTCAGAAATGGCATGAGGGTAAAACGAGGCAGTGTGTCACCACGCATGTCGTGGCGCGTGAACTCTGGCCAGGGCTCTGTTGTCATTCTGTAGTTTCCTTACTCTGTTCTAGCAAATAACGAGCATCCCAGTAGGCCCACTGGCTGTCTCCTCTGCTTTTGATATAATCACATAACGATGCAGCCTCTCTGGCAGGCTTGCTCTGTGTCTCCCGTCTGTGTCACAGCCAGCACACTGTCCTTGGGATTGCCCAGTCGGTCAACATCAATACTTCAGGGTGCAGCTGATTGCCCTGCACCGAGGAAGGTCTGGGAGTCCCCGCATCCCCATCTCTCCAGTCTAACTGGGGGAAGGGCAAGGAAGTTGGGAGACTCGGGCCATTAACAACCCCAGTGGCTTCTCTAGGGCACTGGACACCGTTCTGGGGGTGCATGACCCTCCAGTTCTGTTTGCAGATAGAGTGGTATATTTGATTTCCTCCTTGCCTGCCAGGGTGGGGCTTCCCTGGTGGCTCAGATGGTTGAGTCTGCTTGCAATGCTGGAGACCTGGGTTCCATCCCTGGGTCAGGAAGAAGAAGGAATTCCCTGGAGAAGGGCATGGCAACCCACTCCAGTATTCTTGCCTGGAGAATCCCATGGACAGAGGAGCCTGGTGGGCTATGGTCCACGGGGTCGCAAAGGAGTTAGACAAGACTGAGCGACTAACACTTTCACTTTCACTGCTACTTGCCCACCAGGGTAGGTGGGAATGAATGAGACGAGATCTCTCCAGAGAAAGACACTGTTTGAACCTAACAGTCTGTTTCCATCAAGGTGGGGAGCAGGAAGTTGCCAGGACACCAAAAAGCCAGGTGTCAATACTGGTGAGGGTCCAGGAGCCTGGACCATCCTCCTCTCCTCAGATGGCAGACATCACGCCCATCTCCCCAGAAGAGCCCCGTGTGAATATCCAGCTTCCTGATCCGTTAGGGCCAGTGAGGGAATTGGACATGAAACAGAGGCAAGTGGTGGCCAATCACCACGTCCACACAGAGCATAAACTGTGCAAGCTCATGACTCATGGTATACTCACCTGGACCAGAGAACCCCAGGCACTGGGAACTGTCTCCCCAGACTGTTTCTCTGGTCAATTACGGAGGACCTCGACCCTGCAGCTCACGCTGGGACTGTTATTTGTGGCTGGAAGGGGTCTCCACAGCCCCGGGCCGGGGCACACCCCTGGGGTGTGTGCACACCTCTCCCTGCTCGTCCCGGAGGCCCTGGCCTGGCTGGGTACCGCCTTGCCATGCCCCGCGTCTTCCACAAGGGGGAGCCCCCGGAGGGCAGCGGAATTTGGGAAGCGCTGAAGTTTTCTCCTCCTGTCCTCTAGCAGATTTTCCCGAACCCAACTGTTAGATTCCTTTGTTGCAATGTGGGGGCCTGAGCTGACACTTTTGGAGGCTGCGGGTGAGAACCACAGCTGATCTGCCATCTTTCCTGGTTTGTTGTTCTTTACCTAGCATCATCAGCTAAGGAGGAAAAGTAACAAAGAACTTGAAGACTTCCATGGCTCCCAGGCCCTGGATGGAGGCAAGCGGCATCAGGCAGCTTCAGACAGAGAACCGTGGAAGCTGAGGGGCAGCCGGGATGTGCCTGTGGCTGCAAAGCCCAGGTAGGTACCTGGGAGGGGTTGGCAGAGGGGCGCCCTGGGCCCAGAGCCCCTGATGGTGGGAAAAGCAGACGGGCAGGAGGAATGGAGGACTAGCAGTGCAGACAGGACCTGGGAGGTTGAGGGAGGAGCCCCTGAAGAGTGCAGAAGAAAAAGTGATGCAGAAGAAAAAGTGATGCAGAAGAGTGACCTTGGAGCCGGAGAGGGAGGGTTTGGGGGCTGACTCAGACTTTATTTGAAGGTGCTTCCAGCTCGGCTGCCCTAGAAACTTTATAGGACATCAGAGGCCGGGAGTTTGAGAGTGAAGGCTCAATTGCACAAGAAATTTCAAAGTGAGTAGGTGTGCCTGGGAGTCTCTCTAACCATTCGGGTTGTGCGTCATCGAGCCACACCTACTCCGGCTTTTCTACCTAAACCAGGAGGATTCCTTGCCTGATGGTGTGTTCAGGTTCTCTCCACCTGGAACCATCGTCTCGGTCTTTCCCTCCATGCCTCCGATGCCCACAGTTACTCTCAAGAATGACGAGGAGGCCAGTTCTCATTCTGCCACTTAGTGAGATTCACTTAAGCAAGGAAACCTCAGCATCTTTGTCTTCCTCATCTATAAAGGGAGATAATAATATAATATATTACTGATGAGCCTTATAGGATTTTTCTGAGGATTGAGTAAGTATGATAATGTGAATAAATGCTCTTAATAGATTATAATTGCTAGCTAAATAAAAGATGGCATTAATAGTAATTAATCAGTGAATATATCCTTCCTACTCTCAGTGGGGTATTTTCCTACTGGGCTTTGAAAGAACCTCTGTGAGTATGTGTGTGTGTGTCTAAGTGCATATGTGTATGTGTGTATATGTATACCTTCGACAGATAAGTGGGAAACTTTGTGTTCTTTCACTTCCAGCCACCTTCAAATGTTCCTTTTCGCGGCCTCGGCTGCATTTTTCTGTTTTTCAAACACGCGGATAATGATTGATGGTGTCTGCTTGGCTCCCTGGACAAGTGATTTGTCTGTGTCCTGGACACTGTGCTGCCCGGGTCAATGTCATACCATGCCTTAGGCACATGATCAGACCAAATACGCTTGGAAGAAGCAAATAAGAGGTTGTTTTTATAATCCCATCATCATATTCCCTGACAGCGTTCTTTCCAGTCCGCTTGTTATTCACAGAAATGCCTCACATGGGAGGTTGGGTTCTGCATTCTGAGTCAGGCTGGTTCAAGCAACCTATGAAGGCTTCTGAGCTTGGCTTTGATACCTGTGGACACATTCACTCTCTCCTGGGGTTTTCCGGATGACTGTGGTGTACGGGGAAGGCAGTGTAGACCAGGACAAATCCTTTGACTTTACTGAGCCATCTCTTCCCCATCTGTCAGGTGGGGTACTCCCCTTCCCTCCTGTACCCCTTCATGTGGGGACACCCCAGATAGATGTAAGGCACTCCTAAGATCATACCTGAACCCCCCGAAAGTCTGTAACTTACAGTGTGACCTAATTATAAGGTATCACCATAGCTATTCTGCAGGTTTTTCTCTAGGGATTTACCTGCCTTTCACGACTTTATTTTAAAAGCTATCTTTTCCTGGATGGTAATGTACTCTCCTTTCATCTCCACCAACTGGCTGATGAGTCAAATATTTACAGAGATGCTAAGTGATACACTTACTTTAAAAAAACTGGTATCCCGTACAAATCAAATGTATACATGCACAATGTGTACATAGACTGTGTTTTTCTAAAACCACCAAACACATATATATTCCTTCTATTTTCAAGCATGTACTTTCTCCCTTTTAAGTACAACTATACACAAATATATATTTGAGCAAAAGACATACACTGACATTCATGCAACATACTTACTTAGAGAGCAAATTTAATGGGCAAGAGGAATGAACAGAAACCCTATCAGCATTCCAGCTCCTTTAGAGTCCCAAAGTGACCGCAATACACAATTCACATGGTTAAAAAAATCATGGATCAATTTCTGCCCTGTTCCTAGTAATGAATATCAATATCTTGCCTCTTCCAGACAGACTCTCAGCAGCTTCAGATAATTTTAAATGTTTTTTTTTTTAAATACATTTGCAAAGTCAATTATTTTGAATCTCATTTGAAGCAATTAAAAAACATCCTGACATTTTAGGTGATATTTTTTTCCCAAGTAAAATAATTATAAATAATACTAATTATGAGCAAATCATTTAGTTACTCTCAGCCTGGTTCAACCTTTAGGTTAATAAACCAATCCATTAAAATTCATCTTGCTCAAAGGACCAATTTGTTAAAAAAAAAAATGTAGCAACCTTTCACCACAAGTATGATTGATATTTTCTTTAACAATAATCAGAGCTGTCTTTCCCAGAAGAGAGTGTGGTCAAGTGGTAGGTGTAGAAAACTAGGGTTCCTTTATGCCTGGTCTCAGTAATATTTCTTGTGCTAAGTCGCTTCAGTTGAATCCAACTCTGTGCAACTCCAAGGAGGGTAGCCCACCAGGCTCTTCTTTCCTGGGATTCTTTAAGCAGGAATATTGGAGTGGGTTGCTATGCCCTCCTCCAAGGGATCTTCCCAACCCAGGGACCGAACTTACATCTCTTATGTCTCCTGCATTGGCTGGCAGGTTCTTTACCACTAGCACCACCTGTCAATGCCTAATATTTCTCAGTTAGGTACAAAATGATGTTGATGAAGATGGTAATGGGAATACACAAAACTAAAACTTGGATTTCAAAAGGTACTGAAAGAGATGTAAGTTGCAACTGTTCAGGACAGTTGCTCACAAAAACTGACAGTATCGTCCTTTGCACTGGGAAAGATTTTAGCCCCTCTATCTGCCTCTGGTGTTCCATTTCCTTTAAGGATGCAGGCCCGCGATTTGCAAATATGACCCATCAGCCAGATCCAGTCCCCCACCTGTTTTTGAGGTAAAGTTTTATTGAAATAAAGCACATCCCTTCATTTCCATATTATCCATGGTTGCTTTCCTGCTATAAACTCGGAATTGAACAGTTGCAGTAGACGCCATATGGCCCACAAAGCCTGAAATATTTATTTGACCCTTTACAGAAAAAGTTTGCTGACTCCAGGTGCAGGATGATGAAAAAAAAAAAAAAAAAGCAGTTATCTTTGAATGTACACCAGCAAGTAATATTGAAGCGGCACCTTACAGTTTATAAAGTCTGACAGCATTCTTTTGCAACTGAGCAGATGAGAAATTGCAGACTTTTCTGTGGCCATTCAGCCATTATGTGGTGTGGGTAGGGCTTGGCCTCTGCCCTCATGGCAGCGTGGAGGGAAGCGGTCCATGGAGGTGGCTCTCAGGCTGAAGTAATGGCCGTCTATCTCTTTCATCTGCCCAGAAGTGCTTGCTGCTGAAAGATGGTTGAGGAAGCAAAATTCTTCACATTCTGTTCCCTCTTTATCTGACCTTGACCTGGTTGACTTTAACCTTGTTCCACTTCTATGTCCCTATTCGCGTAATCAGAATGGTGAGAAAGTGAAAGTATCAGTTGCTTAGTTGTGTCCAACTCTTTGCAACCCCATGGATCATAGCCCGCCAGGCTCCTCTCTCCAGAATGGTACCAATAAACAAAAAGGAGAGGAAAGTGCTTCGCAGTCAAACAAAGCTAAGCTTTATTGCGTCAACTCTCGCTTATCCACACTGAAGGAATGTGTCTGCCCTGAAATTGGCACTTGGGTGCTGATATTCTGAAACAGCCAGGAAGAGCAGTCTTGGTGGTATATGCTATCTTTTGTAAAGTTTGCTTTTTGAAATGGCAGATACCTCTCAATTATTTTTTTCTTTCCCTTGGTTTATGGTCAAAATTATATTTTCTCCCCCGAGCTTGTTCTGTCTACTAGCAAGGTGGACCACAGGTGCTGGGAATAGGAGGCAGGAAGGCTGGGATCTTGCCTTTGAGATCTATGGATCCAAACCAAGTTCTTTGCAGAGACCAAAAGATTTTCTTAATCTTATATTTTCTTGGAAAGGAGATAAGGTATAAAACAAGAGAGATGAGAGTAAAAAAAATTCCAAGTCAAACCTTTCCTGAAGATTCTGAGTCAAAGATAAGGATTTTTTTTTTGGTCTTTTATTTTTTAAATTTGAGGATAATTGCTTTATAGTGTTGTGTTGGTTCCTGCCATACAGCAAGTTGAATCAGCCATAAGTGTACATATGTCCCCTCCCTCTTAAGCCTCTCTCCTACCCCTTACCCCATCCCACCCTCTAGATTATTACAGAGCACCAGGTGGAGCTCCCTGTGTTATACTTCTCACGAGCTATTTTACTTACGGTAATGTGTATTTCAATGCTACTCTCTCAATTTGTCCCACCTTCTCCTTCCCCTGATGTGTCCAGAAATCTGTTCTCTATGTTCCAGAACCCTGCTAATAGCTTCATTAGCACCATTTTTCTGGATGGTGATATATATATATATATATATATATATATATATATATATATGCTTTATTATATGATATTTGTTTTTCTCTTTCTGACTTACTGCACTCTGTGTAACAGGTTCTAGGTTCATTCACCTCAGTAAGATTGACTCAAATTCATCCCTTTTTATGGCTGAGTAATACTCCATTGTATATATGTACTGCAGCTTCTTTATCCATTCAACTGTCGATGGATATCTAGGTTGCTTCCATGTCTTAGCTATTGTAAATAGCGCTGTGATGAACATTGGGGTATATGTGCCTTTTCCAATTATGATTTTCTCAGGGTATATGCCCAGTAGTGGGATTGCTGGGTCATATGGTAATTTTATTCCTAGTTTCTTTTTAAAGAAATCACCGTACTGTTCTCCATAGTGGGTGGATCAATTTACATTCCCACAAACTGTATAAGATGGCTCCCTTTTTTCCACATCCTCTCCAGCATTTATTGGTTGTAGATTTTTTGGTAATGGCCATTCTGACTGGTATGAGGTGATACCTCATTGTAGTTTTGATTTGTATATCTCTAGTAATGAAAGACGCTGAACATTTTTCA